GGTCATCCCGCGGAAATCGCGGAAATTTCCAATCGATTTTAAACTAACTTCCCGACAAGTTAGCGACTTGAAATTTTCAGTATAGTGCCAATCACGATGACAATGCAATTTNATATGGTCCAGGGGTCTTGATTCAAAGGCGGTCAAAAATTAGTAAGATTTATGGCTAACAGAGCGTAATTTGCCAAAGAACGTAAAACCACCATAAAATAGCAAAGCTAATTGTGGCAAATTCTAGATATCAACCTAGTCTAGATATGAACCTCGTTGTAGTCATCATATCAAAAAGATACAATTAGAAGACTCCAGATGTCGCCCCGCCAGAAGAAGTTAAATATTGTGCCTAAATATGTGCCATGCTACAGCGGAAATGGACGTCAAGCCATTTCTTTGAATAAAATTAATTGCTGCTATATGTACATATGTATGTTTATACAAAACGTAAGCAAACAACATTTTGCTTGTCAAGTCTTCTGTTCTCTTTCATTGCAAGTTGAATAATTTTAATATCTATTGCAACATTTTGTACATAAAACAAAATAACACTTTTTAATATACAACGCTTTTATAAATGGACTAAGAATTAGAAAATAAAATAATTGAAAAGAAATATTTTTTAAAAACAAGCTTTTATTAACATGTACAATCAAAGGAATAAAATAAAGTAGTGTAACAAAAGATTTTTTAGCAAGAAAATTTTGTCAAAACTGCACTAAAATGAATAAAATAAAATAAAACTTTTTAATATACAACGCTTTTATAAATGGACTAAGAATTAGAAAATAAAATAATTGAAAAGAAATATTTTTTAAAAACAAGCTTTTATTAACATGTACAATCAAAGGAATAAAATAAAGTAGTGTAACAAAAGATTTTTTAGCAAGAAAATTTTGTCAAAACTGCACTAAAATGAATAAAATAAAATAAGTTAAGGTCTCGTTAAAGTTACTAAAAGCCATTTAGTGAAAGGAGTTATTCAAACTCTAATGAAAATTACTAACAATTTGTACTAATTTTACTTTGGTTTTAAAAAAGCTTGTCGGCGAATTCAGCATACTTACATAATTGGATAGGTATGTATATGTATGTACCCTGTAGTCAAATGTACTAGTTGTAAACTATCTCACAAGTAGTATGAACCGCATGCCCAACTAGTCAGCNTTGTGGCAAATTCTAGATATCAACCTAGTCTAGATATGAACCTCGTTGTAGTCATCATATCAAAAAGATACAATTAGAAGACTCCAGATGTCGCCCCGCCAGA